ATATATATATATATATATATATATATATATATATATATATAGCTTACAGAGCTTCGTGTTTATTACAATAAAGAAAGAAATTGACCAACAATGGGTTCTCTTATGCCAGGATGGGACTCTCCAACCTTGGATCCTGAATCAGGTACCAATAATCAGTACTATACGAATACCAAGTTATGCACTTACGTTAGCTTTACCTTTACCTTTTTGTGTCGAAATAATAAAACCCTTGTGATTTTTAAAGAGGCTTATATTTTGTACCATTGCAGCTTCAATTAAGAGGAATCGATCACTCACAAAACAACAAATTGATGCTTACTGGAGAACAAAAGAGAAGACTGATTGTAAATTATCTGAAACTATTCAGGTTTGACTTTAAATTAACATCTCTACAAGTCTCACTAGTACAAATTATGTGTCAGAAACTTGAATATAAAAAAGCCTACCATACCAATATATTTCTTTGTCTACAAATGGATCCTGAACAGACCCGAAAATTTGAGGATTCAGAGAATTCTGGTATGTCCTGTACAGTGGTCAAGAACCGCATAGAGAAGCCCTTGGAAAGGGATGTTGATGAGAAAAGTTTGAAGAAGTTTGTGAAGAAAAGTTACTGGTACATTATGTTACATGTGGTAATTGCCCGATTGGTGAATTATAAGTTAGATTAATTGTGTGGAAAGTAATATATTTTGCAAATGGCTGGTGTGCATGCAGGTGGACCATGAGCAGCTCGGCATTTCTGAATGAAAGACCACTGATTGAAGCTTCTTCCAACAACTATGCTTCACAGTTTCACGTAGCCAACATGAGATAAACAAAATTTAAAACCGGAAATGAAATTAGTGCTTGATGATCTTGCTTAAAAGGGATGTTTTTATTAAAATAACACTTATAGTTATTGTTTTATTTAAATTTACATTTATATTAAAATGTATAAATATAACCATATCGATAAATGTATGAATATATTTCATATTTTTTATTAAATAATATTCACACAAAACATAAATTATTTATATTTTTATATGATAACTTATAAAAGTATACTCTTTTATATTTGTTAAAATATAACAATTAATTCTTTAATGTTATTGCTTATAAAATGTGCTCAATTTTTTTTATCAAACTTTAGTTTTAATCCTTGCAGATTTATTTTTATTTTGTTTGAATTTTAGTTAGCATGTCAAACAAAGTAAGGGATTGAATGCCACTTTATTTAAAATATAAAGAAAATTACATTTTAGCAATGTGTACCGGGTTTTAGTAGAAAAAATACCCTAATATATCATCGATTTTAAGTTATAAGGTTAAGGGTATTTTAATAATTTTCATTTCTAAAACTAAAAAAAAAGAGAAGAAATCTCCCAAACTCTTGCTCACCTCTCTTGTTCCTCTCAACCATTTCTCTTTCATCTCTCCCACTCCAACATTTTCTCTGTCATCTCTACACTAGTCCCAATTGATTTCGTTCATTTGTTTTCCAATTTAATAACAAAATAATTGATGATATTGATGTTGATTTTTGATTGGAGAGTTGTGTTATATATTTCCCCATCTGATTATTATTAAATTTCGTTTTTTAAATTTTAGAATTTTGTTGTGTTACAACCATTATCAATAAACCAAGATCAAAATCAAACCAAGTTTAGCCAATTAAAAATTAAGTCAGAAGAATGTAATGGTAAATAAAACATTTAACTTCACAAATCACATAAACAAATTGGATAAGTAAGGAAGTTAGATTAGGGTTAGACGAATGTTTCTGATTTTTTTTCAATAGAGACTAGCACAGGGATGACATAGAAATGTTGGAGTGAGAGATGAAAGAGAAAGGGTTGAGAGGAATGAGGAAGGTGAGCAAGGCTTTGAAAGTTTCTTTTCTTTTTTTAGTTTTAAAAATGAAAATTATTAAAATACCCTTAACCTTATAACTTATAATCCATGATATATTTTGGTATTTTTGTCTACTAAACCCTGATACACATCCTAAAATGTAACAATTGAAAAACCAAGTTACTTAGCAAACCCCTGTTTTAAAATATTGTTATTTAAAACGTTTTAGTTAAAATTATTCTGAATAATATTAACTATTTTCAGTAACATAACATTCTTTCACCACATATTTAACAATATTGTTACAGTTTTTTTTTTAACATAGGAGAAGTGAAATATGCACCTATCTCAGAGCAAGAAAAATGTTATAAATTATTTAACATTTGTTATTAGTTATGGCAAAAAAAAGTAATAATAATTTAGAATAACAAAAGTTCATTAAATAAAATTAATATAATAATATGTGTATTTTTTTTCAGTTTTAAGTTTAATTGGTAGCTTCAACTGAATAATCCTCGTATTCATACCTATTATAAATTATATATAAAGAGGATATTCTTTACATTTTTTATATCAATTTTATCCTTTAAGTAACTATTGATTTAAATTTAATAATTTTTTTAATTAAAAAATATTTTATTATTTTATTTTTTAGAGGATTTTTTTTTACTTTTTTTCAAATTTATCTTCTAAGTAACAATTAGTTTAAATTTAACTATTTTATAAATTAAAAAAAATGTATCATTTTATTTTTGAGAGGTTATTATTCACTTAAATTCAGTTTTTTAATTAAATCAATTATTTATAATAAAAAAAAGATACACTTGCACTTAATATATATGATTAACACATAATAAAGTTAAATGTAAATACATTTTATGAAAAACATTATATAATTGTTATATAACTTATTAAATGTTTTTGTATTATTTGAATTAAAAAAAATTATTGTTAAATATATTATTTATGTTTATGTTTAGACATTTTGTATATGTTATAATACTAACTACAG